GCCGTGTGAGAGCTGAGTCACCAAATGCATTCACTCCTATCTATCTGATAGTGATGGGCCTTAAGGCAGAGCTCAGCTGCAGCAGGAAGACAAGAAGGCTTAAGGATAAGTGTTGATAAATTCTTAGCAGGCCTAAAGAAACACTATTCTCAATATGTAGATGAGACAGAACTTTCTCCCATGAGTCCTTACACAGAAAACTGAAGTTGTGTTGAACTCCCAAAGAGCAGACACAGTGAGAAGGGTTGGATGCCTGACGGTACCAACCCAAAGCTCAATTGTATGGGGGCAAAGCCATTGTATGGGGGCAGGATGAGACAACATAATGGGGTCCAGGTATGTGGCTCACTTTAAACATTTTCATCTTACTGCTGTTTCTTCATAACTACTCCAGGAAAACCTTTCTGCTCCCTTCTCCCCATTATACTTGATTCTAATTATGAAAATTTCCCAAGTGCTAGACATGCTGAATTGAATCATATGAAAATGCCATTTTGACCTATAAAAACTTTTTCATATGGTTCACACCCTGATACATCAGCACCAAGGAAGAAGAAACAATAGAGGTTTTGAAGGAATATTCGTCCCCAGTCAAATACAGTGCCATGAAGTTCTAAAATCCTATAAATTGTCTCAAAGTCCCTTTTACAAGCTTATCAATTTCAGGTAAAAAAGAGAAAATATCATCAAGTTAGGGGAAAGAGTAAAACTGAGGGAGGGGTTTGGAGCAAGCATCAGGTAACAGGCTACAAGTCCCACACATATCGGCACAAACCCAGAGGGGAGACATGGGTCAGCACCACCATGAAATCAGATGTCACAAGTTGTAACCCTCAGACAAGCTGTATTTAGTCTGCCTGATGTTTTAACAAAATTAAGCTTGAATTTTAAATGCATGCCATTTTTTTAAAATAAAAACCCATTTCTCTGTATAAACCAGATGGTCTGGCAGCACTGGACCCACACATGTGTGTGGCAACAACCCAGAGCCTGGGAGCAGCTGCTGCTCTAGACAGTGCAACACTTCCCAGCTCACGACAACCCCTACCCTCCTGGTTATCTCCTCTGACACTTAAGCCATTAGCGTCTTTTAACAGCATGCGGTACTATTTCTTCAACTATTTCTTCTTATACCTGGCTCACTTTCCTCACTGACACAGCCTATGGGGCTGCTGTCAGCATTTGAATTTGCAACCCGCCACTTTAGCCCCCTCATTTCACGGTGAGCTACCCAGAAAAATCAGAGCACCCAGAGTTTGATCAGCCGTCCTCCTGGTCTTCAGCCACACACTACGCAAGGCCAACTACCAATCCCCGCTCTTCTCTCAGCCCTCCCTGGGTTGTACTCTTACTTTGGAAGGCGAAAGAGGATATTCGTGAAAGAAAAAAAAAAACCTAGCAGCTGTCTGCCAAGATGAGATTAGGTCAGAGAGAGAGCCAAGGTCCATGAGAGCCTAATATTAAGTCAAATGTTTTTTGAGCTCTGACTCTGTGCCTATAGGAATTCTGCTAGACCCTGAAGATAGAAGAATACAGGAACTCTCAGGCAGTCAAGAGAACAACAGAAACACAACATAATAGCTGGAGGTGTGGGCAAGCAGGCAGTAAGATAAGGACTGAGGAGCACTTACCTGGTACAGGGGGGAACACGGAAGGCTTTGAGAAGAGGAGGCGGATGAGTTAGACTTGAAGGTGGTATAAGGAGCTTGCCTAGTAGACAAAGGAGGGAAGGGATTTTCAGAACAAAAAGCAAGGCAGGTAAGAAAGGCCTGGTGTGGGAGCTTGGGAGCTGCAAAGTGGGTGGGTTGACAGGGTCAGGTCAGGAGGGCCTCATCACCTACCAGAGGGGCTTGAGTTGTGCCCTGTGCAAGACAAGAAGCCAATGAGGGCTGTGACTGAGGAGACCATTGAAGGAACTGTGACAGGCAGGAGGAAAACACATGTGGGAAATATTAGGATACACAAACACAGAGGTTACTATTTCTCCTAGTTGAGGAAATAACCGTCTTCGTACATCAACCTGGAAAGAATTATTTTGATTCAAGTATTCCCATTAGTTTGAGAAAACTGTTTTATTAAAATAAATGATAATTAATGCCAGAAGTCAATAATTCACTTAAGTAGGAATTACTTAGAAGAAAATGTTATGTATGCGTGTATATATACATTTTTTTTTCATGAAATGCATTATATGTGATGCCAGATCCTTTTACTACATAGTGTGGTATCTTTTTTTTTTAATTAGAGGAGAAAAATGAGAAGCAGTGAGGGTCTGATGCTGATAAAAACTGTGAAGTATCCACTCATGTTACAGACCTCACTAGAGAATTTTAAAATTAACAATGAAGACAAGGGATAAAACTAAAGGAAAACTGTTCTCTTGGGCACATGTCTTATTCCATTGACTTAAACAGCATGAAGACTTGGTTCAGCTAAGATTAGGAGAATCAGGGTAGCTAGCCTGACTCAATGCTACTGGGAGAGGACTGAAGAATGCCTACCACCACATCCACAGCCCAGAAAGTCACACGATGCCTTTATCAGAGGGCTTATCAGATAGCCATGACCACCGCCATGAGGACTAATTATACCTCTTAAGTATAAGGCTTAAGCCACAGGATGACCCTTCCAAAACAAGGAATAGCACCTACGTAAGCTTGTGAAAGCATTATTCTTCTTTTAATAGGCTAATAAATGATAATCAAATAACTCAAGACTTTAACTGGGATCTTGAAATCTGAGAATTTTTTTTAACAGACCAGAAGTCACTTGAAATGTATTCAGCTTAGCACATATTCATCTAAAACCACTATTCTGGTTCCTAACCTCTCTGACCAGCCTCTCCTGCATCAATGATCCAGAATTTACCTACGTGTAAAGTTACACTTTGCCCAACAGAAAATAAAAATACACATTTCAACTCAGTGAACTGTAAAATCTGACTTAATTAGTAATAAGACTTTTATTATTAAGCAGGAAAAATATTATTTGCCTTGAATTTACACCTTTACATTACTATAGTACATACACTATAAAATTAACTAAGCATGTGTTATCTTACCAGATTCGCACAGCACCTTTGGTTACTGGGCCCAGTATTTAGTATTCTCTACATTTCACAGATGAGGAAATGCTGCGAGGTAAAACGCTTGACCCAGGATCACAGACTCAAAGACTGAGTCAAAAACTTAACACTTACCTACTGAATATAGTCCGGAGACCCTTTGTACGAGTCAGGCTACTGCTGACATTGCACGAAGCAAGTGAAGCAATACAGTGCCGAGGCAGCCTGAGCTGGGGTCACGTCCACTGCAGCCCACTTCCCGGCTTTGCCTCTCACTATCTTTACGAACAAGTCGTTGAACCTTGCTGGGGTTCCTTTTCTGTACAGAGGGAATAATCTGTACACAGAGAAGAATAATTTCCTGGCTTTGCCTCTCATTATCTGTATAAACAAGTGGTTGAATCTTGCTGGGGTTCCTTTTCTGTACAAAGGGAGTAATCAAGTTTGGGGCTCTGGTTGTAAAGAACCATTAGAACAAACCTTGTCTTTGGGGAGTTTACAACCCAGTTTATACTGCCCTCCCCTCTCCAAAAAAAATAAATAAATATACACCCACAAAGTAAGTGATCTGAGGTCACCTGAAAAAAAGAGATACGTTAAGTCTAAATGTGAACCAAAATATGCCTAATTATGGGCTACACATATCAGGCACAACTATGAAAAGAGAGCATCAGGGAAGCACCTGAAACACCTGAATGGGGGCCTGCTGGGCTTTGCATCCCAGAACCTTTGGGAAACTGAATCTGAGCATGCATGAATGAAATGCCCTACGAATACAGTGATTTCATTCCATTACAAAAAGAGGCAACTCCTAACCAGTGAGGTAACCTGCTTCTGTCCCCAGGCTTTCAGTAGAGCTACGCTCTTAGTGTAGTTGGAGAAAACACACACACACACACACACACACACACACTCTCTCTCTCTCTCTCTCTCTCTCTCTCTCTCTCTCTCATTCTTAGGTTACAGGTGATTCCAACATGAAAGAGAGGCTGTACCTTTCAACTGAAACTCTGCATCAGTTGACTTTTGTGAATAGTACATCTTTACTACAGGAATTTAAGGACTAGACCAGCATTGATTTAGGATAGCTTTTCAGTAGCAAAGTGACAAAATAACCCCCCAGATCTCAGATACTCTCACAGTGTCAGATGTGAGCTTCTGGAGAGCAAACTGGAAAGTGGAAAACAAA